TTATGTAAAAGACGTCATAGTTTATTACTTTGAATTTGAAATTTGATAGACAGTAATAACAGAACATTCAGTATAATTAAAAACCAATTGTTCAGAGAACAATTGAAGGTCTTTCCACCAGTAAGGATCTATTTTGATATGAAAAGATTAAAATTTTGTTTTAAATGTCAATTTCTGCGTCAAATGACAGCTTATTGTACGCTGATTCCAAAAATATATGGTTTTTATACAAAAAGATATAAATAAGGGAGATATTTTTTTACTTCCGGTTTAAAAGATGTTACTTCCGGTATTGTTTGATAGTTTACTTGACACTGATTCCAAAAATATATGGTTCTGTATACTTTTACATTAACTTAGTACAAAAAATAGCTACTTCCGGTTTACAAAAGGTCACTTCCGGTTGACTTTTTCAATGTCACATTGCTTGCAACCTAATGCAAAAAGTCCCTTGGCTTTATCATGTATACATATGAGGTAAAAGCAAAGGTCAAAATCTAGAACGTTAAATTTACCTATGACCTTGAGCTCAATTTCAAGGTCATAAACCAAGGACCACAAATCAAAAGACTCTAGGCCTCTACTTTATATTGTTAATGAGTTCTATTACCATACGACTAATATTAGATATAAAAGGGGGAAACTCGCATCAAATGTCTACGTACCCTTTCAACTAAAATTTACGTGTTACGACATGTCGCAACTAACAATTGTGTGAAAATATTTTGTCGATATCTTATATGATTTCTAAAAATAAGAGATAACAAGCCAAAATCAAAATTTTGAACATGACCTTGACTTTTGACCTTGACCTCATTTTCTTTTTTTTGGACCAAGGACCTCATATCAAAAGACCCTAGGCCTCTATCACTTATGGTTTTCCAGTTAAAAATACATTTCACTTATATCAAATACAAAAGGGGAAATAACTCTCATATGGAATCTCTATACGGCTTCGGTCAAAATAAAACCTAACATCCTGAGGATATAACGAGCAATTTGGAAAAATAAATTTGTCGCTTTCTTTTACGGTTGCGGAGGAGATCTCATAACAAGAAAAACAGTGTTTGGGGAGATAACTCTTACAAAGAAAAATGTTCGGTTAAACAGGGTCAGTTTCAAAAGCGTATAGACTGTATGATATCATATACCAAAAAACTAAGCGACATCTTTTGAAACAAAAATACACCGCAAGAAAAAAATTAGGCGGAAGAAAAAAAAAATAATCAGAAGAAAACCAATAGGTCTTTCCACGGAAAGGTGGAAAGACCTAATAAATTAAATAACACATATTTGAGACGGTGATAGAGCAGATTGTTACTCCTCGAAAAGACGTTGTCAACCTTGGTTTCGCCTCAGTTGACAATGTTTTCTCGTGGTAACAATCTGCTCTATCATCCTCTCAGCTATGTGTTATTTATATACTGAACAGCATGAAGATAGACTGAAACGATCTCAAATGACTGCAAGCGAATTGTCTGAACGAGCTGCTCAGATCAAAATGAACGTTTCATATCAAAAATTGTTTTCTAGTGAAAACCAAAGAACTTCTTTGAACGAAAAAAAAATTAATAGACAAAAGCACAGGTAAAAATAGAGAATACAGTTACAAAAGAAGGTCATGACTTGGGAGTTGGGACTGCCACAACCCTACATGTCTGTGACGGGGTTTAACTTATTCAATGATTACTCGATCATTCTCCTTTTATACTATAACGAGGTTCATGACTTTCAAGTTGGGACTGACACAACCAAACATGTCTGTGACGGGGTTTAACTAATTTAATGATAACTCGATCATCCTCCTTTCTTTATTTGTAAGTCTTTTGAGCAGAAAATTTGGGAGATGTGTAATGGACATTTTTAAAACTTGCTTTTCGTCCTGTCTCTGAAGCTTGTACAAATAAATTTTATCTTTCCGGCAACGTTCAATTTTTTTCCTGCAATTCAATCATTTCACTTTAACGTTTATTTTTTTCTGAACGTGGACATTGATTTTATAGAAATCGGTATGCTTAAACGAGGACCACAGAGGACTCCAAAGTGAACTGTGACGGACACAGAAGTATATTTTTGTAAACATTCCGGTTTGCTCAACATAGCAGCAGGATAATAAGTATAAATATGGTACAAATAAGATAAAAATTTATTTGTATACCTGGTTTTTGACAATAGTTGACTGATAAAAAGAGTTCATTCGCATTATGTTCTATTCTAGATGTTAAATAAAAGATGAAAGGTTTGTATCTCTTGATCCTTTGGTGGAAACACCTTTCCCGTAATAGAAGTATATGAAAAAATTTCTGATATAAATCGCTAAGTATGCATCTCAAAAGTAGAATTCCAATTGTGTTGAATGTCACTTTGTATTTAACGGTTATTCTATGGGTGAGTTTGCACATACAAAAAATTAAGTCGTTCTGACATTCAATTAAGAAATCTTTTCATCTTAGCAACGGTATCTCGTGTCTATAAACAAAATTATAATACATCATGAATAATGAATCGGCTGTTACTGTACTGCAGTAAATATCACATTGCAGAAAATTGCTAAATCACAAATTGTTGCCATGAAACTTAATTTACATAATTTTAACTAAAAAAGATTTTCTTCAATTTTTGAAAGTCGATATATATAAAAACATTTGTCACATTATCTTATCAATATTTCATTCTGACGGAGGGAGAAAAGGGTTGGATATAATTGTATAAAACAAGTTTGAAAAAGGAATGTTTAGACCTAAATGTTTAACTGTAAATATGAGCTGGGACTTCAATAAAATATGTTGATCTCTAAAACTTTTACAGATTGATATATAACAAATATGGGATAATTGGAAATAAAGTAGCAAGAAACAAAATTCTATTTTTATAAAAAAAAAATTGATTCAAAATTATCAAAATTATAAGGAGCCCCACTTGTAAGCTAGAGGATATCACATGTACTGTTACTGAATACGTGAAAGAGGACTATTGATATCACTGTAGAGACGTTTACTTTACCTTGTCTGAGCGTACGCACGTACAGCACGTACAGCAATGTAACAAGATCGACAGTGTTACATTCCAAGATTGAAATTCTATGAAATAGTTATAAACGATACGTGCCATTAACTGTTATAGTGGTCATTTTACAAAATAGTTTGCATATTCGTGTAATTGAAGCATTATCCTATATAAAAGTATACCTTAAATATTTTAATTTTTATTGTCACTCAGTCTCGCTAACAAGATGTATTTTTTTAGATGCGCTTGTTTCATCCGAAATTTGGATTATAATTAGATGATTTCTGTTGAAGGTAAGGAAAATCTTTCTTATTGTTGAAATTTTGCAACACACTTTCATGAATGTTTGAATGTGTCTATTATGTTTAGCCAGTTTGATAATGTGTGCTCATTGGTTTTACGTCGCCTTCATTCTTGGTACTTTGGATCAGCCCATAAAGTACGTTTTGGTCATTTTAGCGTAGCAGTTGAAATAAGCTTATTGTTGATATACATGTATATTATTATATTTGCGGAATAGAAGAGACAATAAAAGCAAATGATATTAATCAACACATACAAACTCGCAACAACCAAACCAATTAAACAAACTGAACCAAAAACAATACAAATCAAACCGGAAATAAAACGAACGATACTTCTACATTGTCGAACTTGTGTACTAGTATCATGTGTAATGCTCCGTTACCCAAGGATGCATAATCTTTTAACATAGTACTCTTTGGGTTTTAAAAGGGGACAAAGAGTATCATTCACTTTGTTAAAGGAGTTGACGAACTCTGTATAAAATTGTGCAGATGTGCATTATGCCTATACAGATGCTGTGGTGTTGTAAGAAGCAATAATATTACTCCTGACAACCTGGCTACGGTTATGTAAACAGTGTACCTAATGATGAAGACATTGTAATAACAATACCAGTATCATACCCCTGAGATTCATTACAATGTTTATACTGTACCAAAAACAGATCATGGTTAATCAGATTTCTAAATACGAACTGGCAGCTTCGGCATAGTTAACCTGTTTGTCAAAGCTTCCGAGATCTAGAAGGGGAAAATGTGCAATTTATCATGATCAAAGTTCCATCTCTATCCTTTGAATCTATACGATTTTACTTAGAAGACACAGAATCAAATTTACAATGAGTTCTCGCTTATTAAACATAATCAATTAAATAAATTTATTTCACTGGACGTTAAGCAACCAACAATCGATCAAATTTATTTTCTTGACATGTCGTTTACTTAATCGGTCCAATAAAAGAGTCTCTCAAACAAAAAAGGAGAATAGATACGCAATTGAAATAATTTCAGATATATGTAGAATTGTCAAAGAGAGATATTCCGAATGGATGAACGTTACAAGTTAGAATGTCTCAGAAATTCTCTTTATCTGCGTTAATTATGTTTAATAAATGAGAATACATTGTAAAGCGAAATAACTTGATAAACGAAGACTTTTATCCATTTATTTGTACTTTGTGCAATTTCCTGTCGCCTTTCTTGATTAAAGGATGAAAAATGACATTAGACGACGCTTCCCGTGTCCAATTTGACAGGAAGAATCTATCTAATAACCAACGACATCAATTTGCTTTTAAATGGTATCACGTACTTATCTAAATGTTCGTACATAGTAAAATGAATATTATAATTATATTTGAAAAAGATTTAACATAATATAAAGTAGAAATGGCGTGCGTCCGGCCAATTATCCACGTTACCTTCAAATTGTGCGATAAAAGCATTCCTTCGTTATCAGTTAATTATAAATTTAAAAATTCGCCGTATTTTTAAACTTTCCTTGCATTCGTCATTTTCAAACTTGTGAAAAAGGACAATTTTCTAATTTGATCATTAAAATATTGAGTTGTTTTTTCAACCTTGATGGCGCGATTTTTTCAATAATTATCTTATTAGTGACGGGAGATATTATAATAGAACAGTTATGAAGAACTATAATTTCAAATCTGAAAGCATGTTGTTTTTCAGATGACTGGTATGTGACTGTGACGTGAAACAAAACGAGAGGAAGGATTTTCATAACTTTGTTTCAATTTAACAACTTTTCTAACAGCAGAATGGTGAGTTTGTTTATATATTCTTTAAACTATGTATCATATTTAAACAAATTATGATGAAATGTATTAAAATGTATTAAAAAAAACCATTTTTTTCAAGCTAGATACATTATTCAAAATATACTAGTTAGAAATCATACAATGAAACAAAAAAACTCTGTAATTATAGACTATTTGTCAAATTAACACTTCTAGCAGTATGATTTGTAACCCATAGTATGGGTTTAAAAAATTGGTGGTTTAACGAACAGCGTCAAATATCACATTTATTGATAAATAAGCATTGAGTCATTGCTCAGGGTGTATTTTGGGATATATTTTGGGGTATTTCCTAGAAATGGAAAATGAAAGCATTTTTGGTAGGGTTATTAACCTACAATATAGGCTCCTTATTGACTTTAGGAAAGGTTTATCTTTGCCGCCAGATTAAAGTTTCATCAGAGGATTTGCATTTTACGACAAAAGAGGGACGAAAGATACCAGATGGGCAGTCAAACTCATAGATCAAAAACAAACCGACAACGCCATGGCCAAAACTGAAAAGACAAACAAACAAACAATAGTACAGATGACACAACATAGAAAACTAAAGACTAAGCAACACGAACCCCCCCAAAAAAACTGGGAAAAGCGGTTACCGACTGGTTGTTAGTCGTAAAACAAGCTATTAAAATAAATTCGTCAAATTGAACTTTTCAAGCACACGAGCACGGCTCTCTGGTAATTGTCACTGTTCAATATTTTGACACAGAAAGCAGCAGAAAGGATATGCCGAGCATTGAACGGTACAAATCTTCGTTGTATGGTATACGTCAGAAACAAATTTATTTCGCATGTTAGTATTGAGACTAATGTCAGTAACGGTGAAAGTAAGAATATAACAAATTCTGATATATATTTCGCTGAACCACTGTTGACAGCCACATGTTTCTGTCAGTGCCGGTTTCTGGTGATGTAATTCTTGTTTTATTACATTGTAAAATGTCGATTTGGAACATACGGTTCTTTTCGGAATTTTACTATAACTATTTATCAATTTATATAGCAATTACACAAATAACTCTACATATATATCAATGTAAGCAAACAATTTCCCCTTCAATTATTCCACTTAAAACCACCAATAAAGATGGACGTTCGATAACATTTATTTGCCTTATCAGTATTTGGGGATATCATGGCGGGCGTTGTTTGGTCATCGATAAAACATTTTTATGACCCTGTTGATTAGTGGTCGACCATGAAAAGGGACAAAGGCTACGTCAATATTGAACTTTCACACAAACAGTGTCACGAATGAAATAAAACTGATTATACTGATTAACATCTTTGATTTCGCGGTATTTTAAACTAGAGCCTTTCACCTTCATAATCTGTATCGTAAATCTAACTGTCTCCAAAAGCAACAGAAAAGCTTACTTTGTTGTTTTCCGAGTACATCCTTAGAGCTGACAAACACTCAGAAAATAGTGTAATACTCATGGATATGTTCTTTAAATATTTAAACGTAATAATAACTAAAGTATAAGTTAGGTAAGTATGAACAGAAAATATATGTCGGTCATTAAAGGCTCAGATTTCAGTACTAAATCAAGCCGAAAGTGAGAGTCGTTCTTCTCGATCACGTGACCTGATTGTAAAATATGATTAACTCTAAGTTCACCTGAACATGAAAATTTATAAGTTCCACAGAAGCTGATTCTATAAATGAAATTTCATGATAAATTGTACCCTTGTATTCTATGCTATACAGAAATCTTCATTAATAAAAGCATCGTAAATTATCAATGTTGTTTTAAATGTTTTGTAGCTCCTAACGTTTCTTCGTATTCATACATCCCTGGTTTTCAAATGTTTAGGCTTGAGCGTTCCTGATGAAGGTTAATTCAGAAAAGCGCTTCGGACAAATAAAGTTTTCATTTTAATGGAAATCGAAAGGAAAAAGAAGTGTATGCGTCGATATGGAAATTAAATAAAATCTGTAAAGCCAAAGTAACACATATAAGACCTTGAATGATATAAATAATATACAATTATGGCCCGTTGAAAAGGTGAATATCCAAAATTGTCAACACGAGAAGGTTATTTCACTGAGGGCGCAGCCCGAAGTGAAATAACTTTTAAGGGTTGACAATTTTGGATATTCATCGCTTCTAAGGGGCCACAATTGTTTTATTATACCGAACTAACAGTGAAAGGGCATTTTGAATCATTGCCAGTAAAAGCACTTACCTTTAGTAACAAACACAAGTTGACGTTCAAAAATACATGTAATTTGTGTCTTAGAATTCTCGTATGTACAACAAAGGTAGATTCTTTTTGTAAAATATTGATGGCCCTGAAAAGGACCGTTATTAGAGATATCATCGGCACAAGATGCACGTCAAAAGCCTTATTTCCTCTTCTCTCGATCAATGGGCTTCCTGTAACTTGAACGTTGCCATTTTGTTTATTTACGTCTGTGACGTCATTTTCATGAGTACAAATCAACAAACTAAAAAGGTTATTCGCCGGTGAATAATAGGGTTATTCAACGCTGGTGTAAATTTTTAGGGTTATTCGTTCTTCCTTGCAATTGAATGAAAATTAACTGAATTATTCCATGTCACGTGATAACGTTTAACCCAATAGAATTGTTTGAAATATATGTAAGGTATAATAATCAACATGGTCGACCTCTGTGTGGTCAGTTTTCATGATTAAGCAGCTTGTCATTAATGTCACTTTACATATACCGCAAATGAACACTTTACGGAACATGTCAACAATCGTCGAGGCTAAAAAAACAACTTAGATTTATAACAAGATAGGATTTGTATACTAACGTGGGTAGGTTCCATGAAATTTGAAAATCAGCAAATTCGTAAAATATCTGGACATTTTAAGAATGTTTTGAAGCGAGACAAACATGTAATTTTCCGAGTATTTTCAAATTTCTGTTTTTGATCAATTTTGTTAGACCATATATATTTTGGTAAACAGTAGCATTAAAGCGTATTTAGTTGTATGTAGTTGACGTATCGTCTCATCTATCGTTGAGCATGACTGTTTTCGCACTGGTTCAATGTGAAGTTTTTTTTAAGACCGTGTACTTAGAATAGACCAATTTTTAGTAAGCTGTTATATAAGGTTCTTTTAATAAAAATTATAGCCCATTAGTACTTGGGATGTAGCTTTTGTTAGAGCGTCTGAATGTGACTATAAGTTGGAATTCTTTTCTACAGATTTCAAAGTAACACACATTGCAGTTATATGGTCGTTTATATCTATTGATACAAACACCAGCTTATGTTAACTCTAATTAATTTGACTTTAATATAAGTAATTGTTTTACGAAAATTCTGAAATGTAAGGATATGTTGAATGTGAGGCCTTTTTAAAGTTTGTCTTTTTTGTGTTTGGATATATTGTTTAGTCATAGACCATTCACATAAGTAATGATACTTAAGAAAGCGCTTATAACGCTATAACTCACTTAATTTTCCCTCTCTCTCCATTAAGTACACACGCTTCTGTTTTGTCTTACAGTTAAAATTCCAGCTTAACTCAACTAGTTTAAACTTAATATAGACTAAATTGTTCGTATGTTGTACTGTTACACCACTGTCCCGTTTTATAAGGAGGGGGCAGCAAACATGTTTAACCCCGCCACATTATGTATGTGCCTGTCCCAAGTCAGGAGCCTGTAATTCAGTGGTTGTCGTTTTTGCTGTATATTGTTTTGTTCATCAATCAGGCCGTTAGTTTTCTCGATTCAATTGTTTTACATTTGTCATTTTGGGGCCTTTTATAGCTTACTATGCGGTATGGGTTTTGCTCATTTTTGAAGGCCGTACAGTGACCTATACACAGTTGTTAACTTCTATGTCATTTGGTCTCTGGTGGAGATTGGTTTCATTGGCAATCATACCACATCTTATTTTTATAAAAATCAGTTTTGATCTGTAAAGTATCTTACGGTAAAATTATTTGTTGAAAAAAACATAGAAATGTTTTGTATTCTCTGAATACATATCAAGGATTACGAACGCAGCCACAATTACGGGTTAATTAGTGCAAACTCAATTTCTTTGGTGTTGAACAGTTGGGGGATCAATTATTTCTTTTGTATCCTACCGATTAATGCACCTTTGACAGTCTGCTGCAGCCTGCACTCGATACTCTCTGTGGTCATCTTTAACGAGACGTTAATTCATTAGCGCTAATTACATTTGCATAAATTACATTTTGTTTACCTCTGATGTATTCTCTGATTTCGTTAATAAGAAATAATACTCGGGTCAGAGACGGATGACAGCACAAGCTGTGTCCGGATCAGGTATAAAAGTGTCAGCTATCTTTTTTTTGTTGGTTGTAAATGGATTATTTTACAAGTTAAATGACAACATCCATTTTTTAGGATTGAACGTAACATCAATAATTTGCTTACCTATTTTCCTATATCTTTTGTTTAGTATTCATCTCCATATAAGATTTAGGTTGGAATACGGTAGTCATACAATTTTTTTGAGTTTTTCAATTTTGCATGGAGATACTTTATTTCATATTTGAAAATTCTATCTGTCAAGATCACACATATGTACACGAATAAATGTAAGTCAGATAAGACGTGTGGAGTTAATGATATATCTGGTAATTAATTGAATTAACTGCAGACTGCATGGTCATTAGTGTTTATAACTGAAGAACAACCCATGTTCTGGAGTATTGACCAATAGTCAGTTCGGTGAAATGGACATAACACAGAAAGAAAACAAAAAGAAAGACATATTTCAATAGATGATTCTTTAGTGTGATATGAAGCGGACTGATACGAATAAAGATTCATTGAATGGGTCATACCAGATGGAAAAATTATGAAAATTTGATTAAGTGTCATTATAAACTGTAATAGAAATTTTTGAAAAGAAACAGCACTTCAAAGAATGAATGAATGGACGACAAAAGGTAAATAGTTTATGCTTGTCAAATTTCTTATTTAATCAGTTGGATTGCAGTCCCTA